AAAAAAATACTAGTTGAAATGAGCTACATTCATCGAAGTATTTTTAGCTAGATAATTTTTTATAAAGTCCTATGAGTTAGGATAGATATCAAGAGTATTCCCATTCTACAGATGGCCCAATTGAGGCTAAGTGACTTTGTCACAGTCAATCAGCTAGGTTAATGGTACCATGTCCTTCTAATCTTATGATATTTAACTTGGTTCATCTTTAGCCACATTGTATTTTCCATTATTTGTCTATAACACATACTTACCTCTGGACTTAGTTCAAATAGCACATTTTTTTTCCCCAAGGTTCCTTTTCTCTTTAACCTTTTATCAAGGGAAATTTCCAACATATACAAAAATATAGTGTAATGAACCCTCATGTAGCACCACCCAGTTTCAACAATTATCAACTTACGACCAATCTTGTTTACTCTGTGCCCCACGCTTCCATCTTCCAAATTACTGAAAGCAAAATCCCAGACATTAAATCATTTCATGTGTAAATATTTCAGTTAAATGGTGCGTTAAACAAAACCTTCACAGGTATATCTAATTGGTAGTATTAAAAAGACTCATATACGGGGTTCTTCCTTATAGCTCAATAGGAGAAGCAAGAATCCTCATTATTTCCCTATTGTGGGGGATGGGGACTGTTATGAAGCATCTCTCCTGGTACAGAATCATCAGCATTCAAGGACTCTGGGTGAGGTGATGTGGATGAAAGCACAGGTAAGGTCAGCACAAAATTAACTCAGAAAAGTGGATCTCAAAACTTGACAAACTTGAACGGAAAGTACAATATGATGCCTGCAGCTGTTAGCAATTATCAGATTCCTTTTCTCCTTCATCCAAGTTATCACACCAGCCATGTCAGAAGGCCAACTGTCCCAGCCTGAGTGGAAGACCTGCTTGGGCCTCACCTAACAAATGCTGTCACATGACATTCAATCTTTGCCTCTACAAAATCAACAATGAGCTCAATTCTCAAAGGAAACTTTCTTCCTTAAACATGAATCTTGGATACAAAACCATCTCAAACGTGATGAGAACCAGGTTGTGCACTAGTAAAACATGATCACACTCATCAGCTCTCATGCCAAGTTGTGCAATAACATAATGGGTCCATAAATCTATGCAACTATCCATGGCGCCAACAACAGGGGGTGGACAGAGTTTTGAATACTCTTAGATGCTGTAAAAATTGTCTGCAGCCAGTAAAGCAGGCTGGGAAGTTTACATTTTCCCCAGAGGCTTCACAATGAGAAGCGGGTTAAGGTTGCTGCCAGCACATGGTTTCATTCTGCAAACAAATCATGAATCAAGATGCACACACGAGCGCATGTACATATATATATTACTCTGATGAAGTTAACATCACATGTCACCAGAACCAAGGCAATAAATCTCTCTGTTCCACAAAGATGCTGTGAACCATATAACCACTACATTTTCAACTATGTAACTGTTATATTATCCCACCCAGTCCCCTCATTTTATAGATGTCTGCAATCTCTAAAGTGCTATGTTAATACTGTTTTAATAATATTCATTCAAGTAATATTTACTGAGCACCTACTATGTGCCACATACTATTGTAAGTGCATAGCATACATCAGTGAACAAACAACACACATAATAAAAAATGAATTTGTCTTAGATGGGGGTACATGCTATGGAACACAAAACAAAATGCAGTGCGAGTAAGCTGGATGGGCTAAGGGGGCAGGTTTCAGAATGAGTGGGCCGGGGCGGGCCTCATTGAAAAGGTGAGGTCTGAGCCAAGCCCCCTGGGAAGACAGGCAGGATGCTGGGTGGGCAGGTGGAAGCAGAGTGTCCAGGCAGACATTCTGTGGCAAAGGTCTGCAAGTGGAAGTGTGTGTGGCATGTTTGAGGAAGAGCAAGGGGGCTGGGATGGACTGAGTGAGGGAAGGGTATGAAGGAGGAAGTCTGAGTGGTCATGGGAGTCAGGTCACCTTGGCTCCTGAGCCCTGGGGAGGACTTTCACTTTGGTTCTCCAGGGAGGCTTTGCAGGGGAGCGAGCAGAGTGGCATGATCTGCCTTAGGGTTTCAAAGGCTCACCCTGGCTTCACTGTTTCGAACAGACGGTAGGGGGAAGGGGGGAGCGGGAGGCCCTACTACATCACTACAGTGATGGTGAGGGAGCAGGGGAGCAGTGGAGGTGATGAACCATGGTGGATGCTAGACCTACTTAGGAGGCAGAGCTGATGGGATTTGCTGATGGAGCAGATGTCGGATGTGAGAAAAAGAGAGGAGTCAGGGACAACCCGGGGCTTTTGTTCAGAGCAAGGGAAGGGGAAGTGGCCCTGTATTCAACTGAGATGAGAAAGGCTGTGGGAAGAGTGGTTTGAGGGGGGAAAATGACAAGTTCAGGTTTGGACAAGCAGATAAGAATTTAAGATCTTCCAATGGAGATGTTGAAGTTGACAGTGGACATGTGGCTCTGGGGTTCAGAGAAGTGTGCTGATGTACAAATTTGGGAGTCTTATGTTTTGATGCTGACATTGCTGTTTTTAATAACCCCAATTTATTATTAGTGGTTAAAACAAATATAAATAGCGATAATAGAAGTCATACACACAATGTCCTACACATGGAAGGATAAGACCAAACAAAAGGAATGAACTGTGCTGAGTCAATGGTCAGGGGCATTTGAACTACTAGAATAAAATGAAGAGAAGCTGCATACATCATTCCTTCCCAAGATGAGGACGGCTCTTCAGTAAATATTTGCAGAAATCTCAAAGTGATCGTGTAAAACAGAATGAGCTCAGAAGCCGGGATCCTACATCATTTTCAGATCTTGAGAAACATCATATATTGGTTACTCAAAGAAACAGTAGTGGCCCTGGCTGGTTTGGCTCAGCAGTTAGAGCATCGGCCCACAGACCAATGAGTCGCAGGTTTGATTCCGGTCAAAGACACATACATCAATTGTGATTTGTCCCCGGCCCTGATTGGGGTCATACGGGAGGCAGCCACTCAATGTGTCCCTTTCAGGTCGACGTTTCTCTCTGTCTCTCTCTCTTCCTCTCTTCCCCTCCCACTCTGTCTGAACAAAAGTAGAAAAATGTCCTTGGATGAGGATAAAAAACAAAACAAAACAGAAACGATAGTGGCTCAGAGAAGTTCAACAAAAGAAGACTTTAAATGAAAGTCTTTAATTTCTAAGCATCTGCCTTTTCCACCTTCTTCACAGGGCATTAAGTGAATATCTGCCAAGGGTATTAAGTTACCCATAGTTTCCTTTTCAGATTCTGTTTCTAATGCATGTCACTGGGCAAGGTTGCTGGCAGTAGTGGGGAGGGAGGTGGATAGAACTTTTACAGCTGAAGAAGATGATGCAACTTTAAAAAATTCATCTCATCGAAAAACAAAAAACATTTAAAAGCTACCAATAAGCCTGCATGAGAGATTTTGCCAATGCCCCATCCCCCAAGTCTGCAAGCACAAACGTCAAAGCAAAAATTTCAGCACTAAATCGAATTAACAAACATTCCTTAAGCACGGCACAAGTGTAATTTATTACAACCTGGAAAATTCCATGGTATTTATCAAATCCTAAGCAAGGCTATGATGCTTAGAAGTGTACCACAGTAGACGTCATTAACAGCCACAAGTGCGATGGCTCTGGGTGTGTTGCTGTGGCAACCGCGTACTCAGCAGCAACACGCTGTCTGCTTCTCACCAACCCAGAACCAGAGGCAAAAGAAAAATGCCAGCTTCCTGATGGTAACAACCCCAGGAGTCACAGCGCGGGCCATCTCCATCATTCACACACACCGGAGACTTCCTTAAGGCAATCCAAACTCATTCCCGCCTAATTCTTAAAGAAAAAACGCTCAGTCCCTTTCCTCTACTGCAGAACCAGACAATACCCGCAAGCACAAAGCATCAGAGAAGTGCACACGGAGAGGAGAGAGAGTGGAGGGTGCCTGAAAAGTATCAAGGTCGTCTGTTTAGCTGGGTGCAGGCATGAGGGGCTTTTCTGGAGAGAAAATGGGGAAGTGCTGGTCCATTTGAAATGTCAAACTGGGAAACATTCCAGAGCAAGGAGATCAGTAAGAAAAGCAGCAGCAAGTCGAATAAGTCAGTCAGAGAAAGACAATTCCATATGATTTCACTTACATTTAGACTTGAAAGAGCAAAATAAATGAACAAACGAAAGAAAAATGGACTCATAGATACAGAGAACAAGCTGGGTTGCCAGAGGGAAAGGGGGTTTGGGGGTCGGGGTGAAAAAGGTGAAGGGATTGAGAAATACAAGTTGGTAGGCACACACTAGTCACGGGGATGTAAAGTACAGCACAGGGAATACAGTCAATAATAGTGTAATAACTCTGTATGGTGCCAGGTGGGCACTGGAGATATTAGGGGGAACGCTTTGTTTTTTTTGTTTGTTTGTTTGTTTGTTTTGTTTTTTTTTTATCCTCACCCGAGGATATTTTTCCATTTTTTGTTCAGGTAGAGTGGGGGGGGGGGGGAGAGAGGAACAGAGAGAGAGAGAGAAACATCGATGTGAAAGGGACACATCGAGTGGCTGCCACCCACACAACCGACCAGGGCCGGGGACAAACTGTACGTGCCCTTAGCGGGAACCGAACCCGGGTCTCTCAGGACCGCAGGCCGACGCTCTAACCGCTGAGCCAAACCGGCCAGGGCAGGGGGAATGCTTTGTAAAGTATATGACTGTCTAACCACTATGCTATACACCTGAAACTAATGCAAAATAATACTGAATGTCAACTGTAACTGAAAAATAAAATTTAAATTGAGAAAAGAAAGAAAAGCAGCAGCTAATTAGAGCGTGAGACTTTGGAGGAAAGCTGTTCCCACACAGAGGGATTATGTGTAAAGGGGAGCGGGCCAACAGCTAGCATGTGAGGACCCTGAAACCCCAAAGGCGGCGCAGGAAGTCTCAGACACCAAGCCCTACAATGTCCTTTTGGATACTCCACAGTACGTTGAAATGAAAGAGAAACTGTTGAACGTACCTTTTCCACCGACAGAAAGTCATTTTCCACTTCAATCGACCTCGGTCTTAGTTTTATTGGCTTGTCTTTGAAAATGTCTCCAAAGCCCACTCCCTTAACTTTCTTCGGCTGGATTGCTGCCGTTGCAACTGTCCCATTGGCACCTTCAGATTTGGTACTGCTCGAGTCACCCCCATCACTCTCAGAGCCTGTGGTTTCCCTTAAACCTGTAAAGAGGGGGGAATGGGAGAGAAACAGCTCAGAAAGCAGTCATAGCCATGAAGCACCTCACAGCCAGCCAGGACCACCTCTAAAAGTGTCACTGGGTACAGGATAACTTGGACGGGGGGTTTTCATTCAGTGCGCTGAATGTGTTGAGTTTGGGTAGCTCTGAGTTTTGTTTGATCTCTCTCCCCTTACCCTTTCATTTGACAAAGTGAATCCAAACTTTGCAGAGAATCTCATTTCAAAGATGAGCTCTTTGTAAATGTGACATTTTACCTCTCCTCAGCAGGAGCCTGGTTCTTATTCAAATTTGTTTTGCCACTGTCTGTGCAATAAAAACCCTTCCTGCTTCTCCTCGCCTCTCTGCCCAGTCAGTACCACATACTGTACCTCCAATCTCTATGACTCATGTCAATTAGCAATTAGCAATGAAAACAACATTTCCTAAAGGGAAACTGTAAAGCTAAAAGCCATTTAAACAAATTAGCAATTAAAGAAATCACACAAAATTATGACTGCCAAAGAATTAAATCTCTTTGGATGGCTTCACAAGGAATGAATGCACACAGACATGCTTCTCTAGGAAAGCATTAAACCAAATTTGCCATTGAGACTGGCAAGATGATCGTATTTGTTAAAGAGGGAACGGAAGCTATCCTCCCAAAGGCCAGAATCCCCCAAGCTCATCTTCCCTCCTTTAACACCATCATTTCCCCAAAGCTGAACTCCTTTCCAAAGAAGAACACTGGGGATATAACACCCTTCCTTTGACATCTTGGGGCATGTGTCGGAAGTCACAAAATAGTTACCAGCAAGACAACATGGGCACTTACCTCCCCAGATTCTTTTTTTCCCCCAGGCTCTGCCCACAATCATGTTCCTAAAAGGAAGAGCCTATTTGTTTCTAGTTAATTTCTGGGTGTATATTCTTATTTCGATGGTTGGTACACCAGTAACGCTATCAAAGGGCAGGATTCAAAGGACATTTTATGGAATACTAAAGTATGCCATTAAACTTGTCTCTAAAATCCTCTAGATGAGCAGGACAGCTCCTGAACATTTACTGTATGTCTCCTGATGACAACCATGCCCTTGAGATGCAAGTACACCATCAAATTGTGTTCTCTATTAGCCAATCGTGCATTATCTTCCTATAGGTAAGGTGGTCTCCTAGTACATAAGAATGATACACCAAATAATTGCTCACATAAAATGTCATTAAATGTTGAAGTCATTCAAATAAAGAAGTCTCAGTGCAGGAAGAAACTGTTAAATGAAAACAGACAAAATATAGAAAGGTCATTATAAATTGCTAACAAGTTTCAAAATCAAATCCTTAAAACAATGGCTGTGCTTGCTGTTGGCACTGTTTTCAATAAAATGGTATTTATAAGCCAAAAAGGAAGAGGGGGGAGAGGAAGATCCCTGGTGTAAATTTTAATTAACTGAAAAACAGCATTTGTGAAGAACAGAGGACAGAACAATGAGAACAGCCCACAACAAGGGGTCGGCTGCAATTTACAGGGCTGGATTTGAGTGTGCGAACATGGACAACCCCCTGGATTAACTATCCATTTGTTCATTTGTTCATTGTTTTTAGAAATATCCCTGCTGGAGATACAATTTTTTCGTCTAAATATTGTGTCATTTCCCCTGTAACATGTTCTCATTTTGCTGTATGGATTCTTCTTTTGTGATAAATGGCTTATATATTCGTTTCTGGTTTGGAAAGAACCATTTGAGGATAGAATAAAGAAATGGTTAGTGAAATGATACCATCACCACCCCCCTCCCGACCATCACCACCACCACCACCACCACCATCACCACCAGAAGGCAGCTGGGCAAATAGATTAGGACAAGGCTATTTTAGTTCTAAAAAGAAAAATTCGAAGGGCTCTTCTATAATTCCTCATTAGCTAGAACCATAATATTTTCAACCGCTGCAATCCTGATTTCACTGAGCTTCTGGTTTCAGGGATTTGCTGCCTTCTGGGCTCATCTTAATAACTTTATACTAACCACTGCGAGAAATATTCTTTACATTACACAGGGAACGGTTACGCAGTCATTCAACCTCACAAGCATGAGCTGGGCAGGAAACACACGGCAGATTTTTCTTCCGGAAATTCTGGCAGCCTGCTTCTATCAATTTTAAGTTCACAAATTATTTGAATATCTGGGTTGGTGAAATAACTAAAAATATAGTTCCTTTCCTTTGGAAGGAAAGAAAGGTGACTTTTCATTTTCACATCTGTTTCGTACAGCACCTTTTAGCTACTAGTGCCCATCATGCCTGCAGTGAGGCCCAGGTGGAACACGCATGCCTAGTAAAGTCATGTACAGCAGAACCTGCTGTCTGTCCACTGGAGAACAGAAGTAAAAATACACTTCCCACCCTGGCCGGTTTGGCTCAGCAGTTAGAGCGTCGGCCGTGGACCAAAGAGTCGTGGGTTCGATTCCAGCCAAGGGCACGTACCTCAGTTGTGGTTCAGCTCCAGCCCTGGTCGGGGTCATACAGGAGGCAATCAATTGATGTGTCTCTCTCATATCGATGTATCACTCTCTCTATTTCCCCCCGCCTCCCTCCCTTCCGTTCTATCTAAAGATAAATGGGAAAAAAATAACCTCAGGTAAAGATTAAAAAAAAATGTATATACATATAAATATACTTCCCCACAGACAGTCTGAGAAGTACATATGGGTGTTCACATTTGAACCTTCCCTTTCATCACTTCTGCAGATGTGTGCAGATGTGTGCAGATGTGTGCATACCTACGTGTCCATGCACACTAAGGTGGGTGTTTCTCCTTCCAGGTGAAAAAGAACAAAGCCTCCTCAAATTTGCTTTGGCCAGTCATATAACTGTCCAGTTTTGTGTAATTTACCTTAATATTCCAGTGCTGATCAATTCAGACCCATGGGCTATGTTATCTTTAATTCACGTGTACAGTGCTTACTGTGTGGCAGGAACTGTCCTAAGGGCCTCACGAGAGTAATTCATTGATCACATTCATCTCCTTCCTCTCAAGTTTTGGCAGCTTTATTTCACAACACAAAAGGCTACACATTGGTTCAGCCAAAAGAAGTCTGCCGTGTGGTGACTGGCTGAATGAGCAAAGCAAAACACCATTTCTGGCTTAGCCTTTCATGCCAATTTTTTTATTTCTTTGAACCGCACAATGAAGAAATGGTTTATTAGCTTCCAATGACCCACTCAGAAAAAGCAATAACCACAAGAGGTTGACATCTCCGGGGAAAGCCATCTTACACTACCCCAGGGGCCCGGAGATACTGGTACAAATACATATGCCATGACAAATGCCACCGATCACTTCTCTGCACACATGGCTCATGCACCCATGTCACACACATGATAGAGGCACAAAGCAAACGAGAAAGCGCCAGGGGCTGGTGGTGGGAAAGCTCTTGTAGCGCACACCAAGGAGACGGCACTTATCTTAGGCAAATAAGCCCATGTCCTTGGACCAGAAATTCACAGACACTTGGCGGAAGCACAAGCAGCTCGGGAAAGTGCAGCTGCATCAAAAAACACAAGTATCCAGATCTTATCTTTACAATTGCCTCCTGCTGTTAAGGTCACTCACTGTAATAGCGTCTGTGGCCCTCCGTCTTTCCCGGCGCAGCTCGGTACAGAATTGTCCCTTCAAAGGTAGTCTTTCCTGACAGTGAATGAGAGAAGAGAAGGGGAGAGAAAAACAAGAGAGGGGGAAGGGGGGAGCAAATGATGGCAAAAGAAGGAAGAGGAAGAATCTTTAACTGAACTTGCCTTCAATGAATCCACTGTAAGAGCTTCATCCGCAAAATTAATTAGAGACCATTAGGCAGAATTTCAGAATGTTACAGAATGAGCCCCAAGTCCCCATGCAACCACGATGCACAATCACAAGCACCCAGAACTGGGGCTTACCTTGCACATTACTGGCATGTAGATTATGCTCAAGTTAAACCTGGAAGCCATTTCAACATTATAATTCAAGGATAGGCAAACCTCAATTAACCAGAAGGAATCCAATTAATTGGATTCCTTAATTAACTCAATTGTACAGCACAATCTTCTCTTTGGAGAATATGACCCAAGCATGATATAGATTCAGGCCCATCATCCTTGATCTTCTATCCTAGGGCCCTCTGTGATACAAACTGATATTCATGTCTGCAAGATTCTAAACAAGGCATGGGAGTGCTCTTCAAAAGATATGTATCACCCTCAGTACCTTTAAGCAAGAAAATATACTAATATATTGTGGGGGGGGGTCGCCAATGAGGTTTGAAACCAACAGAGGCATCCATGTCAATTTGAGGGATTTATGCTTAGCACCAAGGACTTCAGAAAACCCTATTTCTTGAAACATCTTAATTGAGGTTTTGCCATATCAGTAGTCATGAGACTGTACTCAAGCATGAGGACATAGGACTCACCCAGTGTCAAATGTCAAATTCTCTCTTTTTTGTTGTTACAAATAGAGGTTATCAATAGCATAATGCTAGACACATGGCTAAAACCCAAATCTCTATGGAACCATAAGTACACAGAACGTACCCACATACAGCTCCACTCCGAGTGTACATACATACACACACACACACACACACACACACACACACACCCATGCTTGTATGCCCTACAGAGAATACCACTAGCAGGTAACTTGATTTATTAAAGGCAAACTCTATTAATAAATGCATTACTCTAAATTACCCAAGAAATTAGTTCTATTATGGTTGGTGAGCTAAATATTGAACTGGAAGCCAGTGATACAGCTTTACAGTAAGTCTGAGGGATGGAAAGGTAGGCTACACTTACAGAGAGACTAAGTAGAACTGAGATGGGAGAGAGCAACTTGTTTCCCAATAGGAAACCATAGTATCAGCTTCTGGGCCATGTCACCCGTAATACATGAAGGGAATGTGAAAGATCAGACCAAAAACTTCAGTGGAATCAGATACTTCTCTAATTTCTGTGTCCTACAGGCATGGT